GGACTTCAAGGCAAACTTGTCATGCAGCCTTTGGGGACGTGTTCTCTGTGATTGGGGTACGGGAGCCGCAGCCAGCAGCAAGTGAGGCATTTGTGAAGTTTGCCGATGCACACCGCAGCATTGAGAAGTTTGGAATTCGGCTACTGAAAACCATTAAACCGGTGGGTCCCTCAGAGTGCCCCATGCTGCTCTGGCCAGGGCAGGGGAAGAGCTTAGCACAGGAGGGCTCTGGGCTGGAGTCGGTGCAGACACTAGCTTGGTCACCCCAGTGGCCATCCATCCCTCAGTCACTGTGCCTGCCTGGGTCCCTGTTGACCTCAAGATCCACTGCTCTGCCGCTGGACCACAATGTGCCCTTGCCTGACGTAGTCTTCTAACCTTGACACATGCCCCTTCAGCTAATGCCCCTGAAAGGGGTGACACACCAGTGCCGTTTGTCCCCCACCCTCCCAGATGCTGACAGACCTGAACACGTACCTCAATAAAGCCATCCCTGATACGCGCCTCACCATCAAGAAGTACCTGGATGTGAAGTTCGAGTACTTGGTGAGTGGTCTGCAGGGTCTGGCCAGCTGGGGTGAGTCCACCCGGAGGCCAGCCCTGAGGCAGCCAGCCATGCCACAGCAGGCAGGATGGGGCCAGACCTCTGATGAGTCAGAAGTGTGGGATTAAGGCCCGGCTAGAGAATCAGGAGTAGCCTCAACTCTGCATTCTCTCACCAAGGAGCTCTGAGCTGCCTAGAGCCTGGGGAGAGGAGAGCTCCCATCCTATCGTTACTCCTTGGGGCTTGTCCCCTCTAGCAGCAGTTCAGACTAGGTTTAGGATACTTCAGAATCTAGATGGTAATCTGATGGTCACAGGAGCTAAGAAAAGGATGTGTTAGTTAGTCAGGCATTTTGCTGCAGCTCTTCTTAGAGCTTTGACTGGACCTGTGCCAGCATGTCTTCAAGGAGCTCCCAAGCTCTCTGCCCCACCAGCACCAGCACCCACAGGATCTTTTGGTTTGGGGTATTCTCTATTCCGGAGCTAGAACCCAGGCTGTATGGGTGCCAGGCAAGTGCTGTGCCTCTGAGCCACACCCTCCAATCCCCAGAGCATCTCCCGAGACTTGAATTGGGCTGATTTTGGATTTCTCAAGCCTTCAGGCCTTTGTACCCTCCCAGAGGAGTGCCTCATGCCCCTGCTGCCCCTTTGCGGGGCCTCCGTCCGTGCCTGCTTCCAGCCTTCCCCAGGTGGTCCAGAGCCAGGTGGCTTATATGGCTGCTGCTCTCTTGGTGTGCCCAGGTTCCCAGGTGACCCGAGGGCATAGGGAGGCATGGCAGGGGGAGCTGGAAACACGAGGATGGGAGTCCGGGAAACTTGGCCACTGACTTCCTGGCCTCACCCATCTCGTCCCATACAGTCCTACTGTCTAAAGGTGAAGGAGATGGATGACGAGGAGTACAGCTGCATTGTGAGTACCGAAGGGGCCTAGGGTGGTGTCGGGAGGCTTGGAGTGCCCACGCTTCTGCCGCTGCCCGAGGCACTGGGAATGTCGGGCGTCCTGGGGTCTTGGCTGGGCTCTAGTTCCTAGAGTTCGGGGCTGTCAGCCTGTCCTACCAGTTCCTCTGGCTTGGAGTACCAGCTAGTTTGCCAGGAGGTGACTCCCCGGGCCTGCCCTAGGCCAGGTGCCCCAAGTTTCTAAGGTTCCTCTAGGAAGAAGCTGACTACTTTCACTTCTGAGCTAAGCTTTGATTTAAAAAAAAAAAAAACAAGTTGATGTTTTTGTTTTTATGCATTTTGCCTCCTGGTGCCTGGTATGTGTGTGTTTATGCATGTGCATTTGATTGGCTGTTGCCTGTGGAGGTCAGAAGAGCATGTTGGAACTAAAGCTACAGACAGTTGTGAGCAACCTAGTGGGTCCTCGTAACTGAACCCAGGCCCCTGCAGGAGCACCGAGCACCCTGCCGCTGGGCCACTCTCCAGCCTCTAGCTGTTCTGTGTTGTTGTTTTTGTTCCTAATTTGTGATTTGTTTGCAATCAGGGTCCGTCTTTTGACCAATATTCATTTATTTCATGTGAGCTGTGTTCGTGTTTCTGTGGTTGATTTTTCTCCCTCCAAAGTCACTGCTTTGAGCTTCTGTTCATCGCGGGCATCTGAAAGCCCACGTGGTACAGCTGTGAGCTGGGCCAGCCCTGCAGCCTTCCAGCCCCATCTGTCCCTGGGAGGCCCAGGCCCGCTCAAGGGCGCTGACAGGCTTGCCTGCCCCAGGCCCTAGGAGAGCCGCTCTACCGAGTGAGCACAGGCAACTATGAGTACCGCCTGATCCTGCGCTGCCGCCAGGAGGCTCGAGCCCGCTTCTCCCAGATGCGCAAAGATGTGCTGGAAAAGATGGAGCTGCTGGACCAGAAGCACGGTGAGGACTGCCTGTGGGGCTCTGGAGGCCCATGCTACCCCTGGGCTGGTGCCGCCAGAGAGCCCAGGGCCAGGCCCTGCAGGGCTCCACCTAGAACCTGGCTGGGTTGCGGCCAGGGCTTGGGTCCATGAGCCACTTTCTCAGGAGTCCTCTGTTTTCTGAGATAGGAGTTTGGAGGGCTGAGCGACCAGCTGGGCAGGGCCAGGAAGCCTATGGCCGTGCCCCTTTCTACCCTTTCGAGAGCCTAACACCTAGGTGGTATCCTAGCAGGGAGGCCAGGTCAGCTCCAGGTCTTTCCTAAGAGGAGGCAGCCATAGCCACTAGGCCTGTCTGCTCACCTTCTGCCCCAGTCCAGGACATCGTGTTCCAGTTACAGCGCTTCGTGTCCACCATGTCCAAATACTACACGGACTGCTACGCGGTGCTGCGGGATGCCGACGTGTTCCCCATCGAGGTGGACCTGGCACACACCACTCTAGCCTACGGCCCTAACCAGGGCGGCTTCACAGACGGAGAGGACGAGGACGAGGAGGAGGAGGACGGGGCAGCTAGGGAAGTGTCCAAGGACGCACGTGGGGCTACCGGGCCCGTGGATAAGGGTGGAAGCTGGTGTGACTCCTGAGTGCCCCCTCAAGTGGACCTGGGGGGCAGGGTAGCGGGAGGACCGCAGCGGGGAGCGGGGCGGGGCCACTGTTGGACAGCGAAGGCATGTCATGGCGCATAAAGGCCTGCTGGCTCGGGGCGCCTGCCTCCCTGCTCCTCTGTCCTCGCACAGTGACCCAGGCCGCAGCCTGGGACCTGGACTCTGGCCCTCATCCCTCTTCCCACCTCCCAGCTGGAGGGAGAGCTGGGCCTTGGACAGAAAAGAGAAGGGGCTGGAGCAGCCAGAGCACAGGACCTGTCCCTGTGAGCACCTTGGTGGTGCCGAGCCTGCAGGGAACGGGAGCCAGGTGGACATCTGAGGCCGGGGCTAGTGCACTAGGCTGGCCCCCCAGTCCACATGCACACCTCGGCAGCCTGTATTTATTTGTTCCCGGCTTAGCCTTAAGGGCTGGATGCTGGGCCTGGATTGAATAAACAGAAACCCAGACAGAATGAATGGCCTCCTTGCAATGGCTCGGACCCTCTGCAGCCAGACCTCAGCTGCCTCGGGGGTCATGGAGGAGGGTGGGACACAAGGCTCAGGCAGGTCCGTCTGTGTCCATCATCTCTCGCAGCACCTACGTAAGCAGCGCTCTTGTTCCCGTAGTGTCTAGGGTGGAGAGGCTCAGGGTAGCCCTTTGCTCAGCGCCACGCATTTTAAGAACAGTGGGAGCTGAGCTAGAATCTGGCCCCAGAGCCTTGGCTGTCACTTGCTCCACTGCTTCCAGTGTCGCTATGCCCTCTCCCTTGACCCTGAACAAACGCTGGTCAGGGTCATGCAGGTCGGGAGGCTACTCCAGGAGCACCTGTTTGGGGCTCGGGGGACGTGAGGAAGACGCTGCCACCCTATGCTTTGCCTGGCTGGGTGCAGCACACACCGCAGCTTCACTCTGAAGTGCCCATTGGAACAGGGGATCTGGCCATCTCGAGAGCAGAACAGGCCAGGGATGCGTGAGGAGGCAGGGTCCAACACGAAAGAGCACCTTTGCTTGGTAGCTTTGCAGAAACCCAGGTGGCATTACCAGGCAGGAACCAGAGGGAGAGAGGCCGTCGCCACCCACCTGGCACAGTGGAGCCCTCTGCCCACATCTCTGGAGGGGCATCTAGTTGGTGGTCAAGGCACAGGCCAGAACCTACAGCTTCGGACCCAGTAATGGCCTCCTTGTAACCCTGGGCTGACGTCTACCCTCCGAGCGCATCAGTTTGCTTGTCTGGATAAATTGTCCCTCCCTGGGTTGTCAGGAGAATCAGTAAGGCAACAGCTTACAGTAGTGCCTGGCCAAGGAAGCACGCCTAGTGCCATCTACAAGAAATGGCAGCCCTTCCGGAGTTGGGGAGCCATAGCTGAGCGCAAGTCTGGGTCCTCCAAACCTTCCTTCTGCTTGGATGGAAAATGAAGCCCACCTGCGACTGGTGTGGCTGGGAAGGGGCCGTGGGGGGGGGGGGGGCTCTGCTCAGGTTCCTTAGCTAGAAGGAGTTGGGGAAAGAGGAAGGTCCTCACATGGGTCAAAGTGCAAGTGTTGGCGGATGCCCATAATCCTGGCACTTGGTTGGCTGAGGCACAATCCCTGTGCTGGAGAGCAGGTGCCAGGGCCACTGATGAGCAGGCCACCCTCAAAGCCACAGCAGTGCCCTCAGGAGCCTGACCAAAAGGGACGGGTCCTGGATACCGGCTCACTAGCATGTATCCTCCAGCAAGGGCCTCCAAGGCTTCTCTGCCAACCACCTGGCTCCCATGCCCTCTGGACCCAGGGCAGGTCTGACCATAACCGTGGACCCTGTGCTTCTCATGCAGATGGCAGCCAGGTGTGCCTCGGCACCCCTCCAGCCCCTGGTGTTTGGCTGGGGACCCCCAACTCCTCCTGAAGCTCAGGGGACATTAGGAAGACCCTTAAGACTTACACCCCCCCTCTGCCAGCTGAGGTGGCCCATGCCCTGGCAGAAGCAGAGGAACAGAACACATCTTTTGGTGGGCCTTTATGAGCATGCGCTCCTGCCAGCCCGTGGCAGCCTCACTGGGAACGAGGCCAGGCGGATGAGGTACCCAAGGGACCACCCCAGGCTGCCTCCCCATGTACCTGCCCCTCCGAGGGGAAGTCACGCTTTCATGCCTCCCGGCCACCTGCCTGATGCGCTACACAGACTCGTGAACCAGCTCAGGCGGTGCCTCCCCCTCTGGCGTTGGTCCGGGGGACTCAGGCCGCTGGCCCAAAACTTCCAGGCCGCCAGGCTCCTCAGTGCCAGCAGGCATTGGCTCAGAGTCCCTCTCAGCCTCCACATCCTCCGTGTCACTGGTCCCTCCCTCCGCAGCCAGGCCCGACGGGGTGTCCTGAGAGCAGCGCAGGCAGCAGAAGGTGGTAACGGCCATGAAGATTCCCGCCAGGGCCACCTCAGAGCCAGCAAGGTAGAAGATGATCTCGTAGTTCTTCAGAGCATCCACCAGGCGGCCTGCAGGGGGGGGGGGGGTGTCAGCTTCTGGCATGGGCCCCTCTACAGCTGTTTTGATGGGGCTTACTAGTAACACACAAACGCCCTGCCACTCCAGCTCTGGGACCACCACTCAGGCTAAGCTTCCGGACCTGACCCCCTGCCCAGCCCCACTCCCCAGGCACAAGGCCTTCATGCTAACTGCTTGAGAAGGACAACATGGCCATGAGCCACCTCCGGCTTTTCCACCTGTCGCCTGTCGTGGGTGGTTCCTGGTTGGGGGAGGAGCTACTTGGCCGTGGAGCGAGTCCACCAGGCTTTCGAGCAAGGGGGCCTTCCCTAACTCCCCACTCCCGGAAGTTCTAGCCAAAGGCCTCCCACTAATAGGTCCCAGGCTTTGCCGCGCCCCTCCTCCTACGGTGCGCACCGGCAGAGGGTGGTCCGATGAGCACAGCCACGGCCTCCACGAGCAGCACCAGGCCCAGCGCACTGGGGAAGCGGGGCGCGCCCACGGTCGCCATGAGCACCTCGAACTGCAGGGCGCCCACCATGCCGTAGGAGAGGCCGAAGGCGATGCAGAAAGCCACGAGGGTGCCGTAGGAGCGCGCACGCGCGCTGATCAGGTCCGTGAGCCCATTGGCCAGCAGGGCCAGGCTGAAGAGGTAGGGGACGTGGGGCCGCAGGCGCGGCAGTCCCGCCAGGGCACCACACGCCGGCCGCGCCACGATGTCCACGAAGCCCACGATGGACAACAGGAAGGCGGCCTCGGCGTCAGGCACGCCCGCGTCCTTGGCGTAGTTCACCAGCAGGATGGCCGGCACGAAGAGCCCCAGCGCCATCAGGAACTTGGTGACCACGTACACCACGAAAGCGCGGTCGGTGCACACAGCCACGTCCAGCAGGCGGTGGCGGCGAGCCCGGCGGCCACCACCACCACCGGGAGGCGCGTTGTCTTCCGTGGGGTCCGGGCGCGGCGGGGGCCCGGGGGGCGGCCGCATGACGGCCCCGCAGGCGCAGGAGTGCAGCAGGAGGCCGCCAAACAGCAGGAAGCCGCCGCGCCAGCCGAACCGCTCCCCCAGCAGCTGGCCGAGAGGCGACAGCGCGGACAGAAACACGGGGCTGCCCGCCGCGGCCAGCCCGTTGGCCAGGGGCCGTCGCCGCTCAAAGTAGAGCCCCAGCATGATGAGCGAAGGCTGGAAGTTGAGAGCCAGGCCCAGGCCTGCGGGCGAGGCGACGCGGCTGGGGTGCCCCTCCTGGCCCCAGGGGAGGAAGGGCCCGAACCCGGGATGCTGAGCCAGGCGACTCGGGGGTGGGGCGTGGGGGGGCGGGGATGCCCCATTTGGGGGAAACTGAGGACTGAGAGATGTCCAGGAGGAAGTCCCGACCCGCACCCACACCCTTGCGGGGGAGAGACGTAGGTACCCTCACCTGTGAGCACCCCGGCTGTCAGGTACAGCTCCAGAAGGCGCGAGGCAAAGGAAGCCAGAATCATGCCCGCCGAGGCCAGCAGCCCGCCGGCCAGCATCACCGGGCGACAGCCAAAGCGCGTCACGAGGACGCTGGACAAGGGGCCTGTGGGCAGCACAGGGTCACCGTCCGGGACGGACCACTCTCCCCTCCAGAAAACGCGCCAGGCCTTGTACTTCTGAGGCCTGAAGGACCTTGAAGGGGTGGTTAGTTCCCACTGAGCAAGCCAAGGGTTGGGGGCGGGGATTCCTCTCTAGGCTCTAGCTTCCCAGCCCCGACGCTGGACCCCGGGAGGCAGGCGTGCTCGGGATCAGGAGGGAGTGCTGACCGGTGCCGTAGAGCATGGCCAGCATGATGGAGGACACCCAGGCCGTGTCACTGTAACCTGCCCCGAAGTCATGCTTGAGCTCCCGGAAGAAGACGCTCACGGCCTTGGGGAAGCCGTAGGCGAAGCCGGTGATCACGAAGCAGGCGCCCAGCACCACCCAGCCCCAGCCACCATCCGGGGGGCCTGCACCCCGCCGCGGGCCGCCAGCGCCCATTGCCTCTCTGCTGGAGAAGAGGGGGACAAAAGGCGGTGGTGGGCGCTGTGCTGGAGTGGGCTGAGACCTGCAAGGAGAAACAGTCCCAGGCGCCCACTGAGCCCTTTTAGGTTCGTAGAGCCAGCAAGGTGGGAAAGTCACCCCAAGTCTTCCGACCTTCCTGCACAGGCCAGTGAAGGGTGAACGGAGATTTGACTTCAAGGTGCCCTCACCAGGACGCCTCTCCTCCTGAGACCTAGTGATGGCAGGGGAAGAGGCCCTGTGAGTGCTGGACTCCAGCAGCCACTGTGGACCCAGAGGGGTGCGTGTGTGTGTGTGTGCAGGGGACCCTCAGTGTCTGCTCTGAATATGCGAAGGTTTGTGGACAAAGACACCACACACCAAGTGGGTCAGACGCCAACCGGCGTGGCCTTACAGCTTGTTCTGAACTTCTCTCAAGACCAGGATTAACTCGCAATTAAAACAACAGGAAAAACTGGCCTCCGCCTCAGCCCACTTTGGTCCAGCTTTGGAAGTTCCACTTTGCCAGTTCTGGAAGAAGTTTGCCCTGTAACTTGGACGAGTCTCCTCTCCTGCCTGAGCCTCAGTTTCTCCACTGGTGGGGTGGCTGACTGAGCATCTGTACACCAGCCAGAGATCTTGGGGAGGTTGGGAGAGGTCCGGACCCCACGGGGAGGTGGGGACCTTGGAAGGGGCTCTGAGAGACCTGAGCTCCAGTGGTTCCCAACCTAGGCCCTCCAGCCCCTAGGCAGGGCTCCCAAGTCCTACTGTACTCGCCATCACAGGTGAGGGTGGATGGCCCAGGGGAGCCCCCAAAGACCCTGGGCTTCCCCTCCAGGACCCTTCCTCCTCCCCCCCATTCCAGGTTCCAACTTTCCTTAATCCCCCACACACCCCCCACCACATGACTATGAACACAAGGACAAGAAGCTGGCCCCTGGCAGCCCTCACCACACACTCACCTGGACCTGACTCTGGGTTTAGGGTTTGGCCTCACATCTCCCGGGGCCTGCCGAAGGGGCTGCCTCCAGCTCCGCCAGGGCCCAGCCTTGACTACAGTGGCTGCGCTTCTGCTAACAACCCCTTCCCCAGGCCTGGGGCTTAAGAGTCCTCTCATCCCACCCCTGCTAAGAAGCTTTTACTAGGAAGGGAACTGCGCCCGCCCGGGGGACTGTGCGCCAGCCAGCGGGGCGGGACACAGTGGGACCAGGGGCCAGGAGACCCCTTCCTCCCCAGGTCCTCTGACAGCGGCCACAAAGCCCTGCCTCGGGAGAGGGGTCATAATCTGGGCCTAGGGGCCCAGTAGCTTCTTGGAGAGACCCAGCCTGTCAAGTCACTTCAGTGTACCATTGCTCCCAGGTCACATTCCAGGAGGGGCTCCTGGCCTCCCGAGGATAAGGCTAATCCAGGCCTGAGCTTGGCTGTGAGGAGGTGGAGAGGCTGGAACAAAGGGCGCTGTGTCCCAGGCAAAGGGGCGCCGTCTCTCGGGATGCCATTTGGAGATTGAGGGATGAGGGTAAAGGCCCTCCTTAAAGAAAGGAGGGGGGTGTTCCTGAGGGGCTGGCCTGAGATTACATTCTCCCCAGGGGAATCTCCACCTCCAAGACATTACCCTGTCCCCAAATAAAGAAAATGTACCCATTTTCTTTCTTTCTTTATTTTTATCATTTGCAAAAGTTAAGCGGGATGCCTGTGGGACAGGGGCGGAAGAGGGGGCACTTTCCTTTGGGTCACAGGCAGGAAGAAGGTGGGAAGCGTGAGGCTGGATCCCCGGGAGAGCGTTCGGTCCCGTTAGGTCCCGAAGCAACGAGCTGCTCCATGTTGGGAGCCCAGCCCTCAGGGAGCTTCTGGGAGATGGGCAGAGGGCTTGGGATGGTCCCCGGGGTTGGCGCCTGATGGATCCGCTGCTGCTGCTGCTGCTGCTGCCAGCTGGAATAGCTCTGGGCAGGTGTGCTGGGCCACCTCAGGCCCCGGTGGAGAACATCACCTCAGCGGATGAGGGGTGCAGAGCGGTCGTTGGTGACAGTGGGGCGCAGCTTCACGGTGGCAAAGGGATTTGTACCCCTGTGGGGGATGGGTTGGGGTGAGAGGGGTAGATCCCCCCAGCTGGCTCCGGGTCTAGGGAGAGCGGGCCAGGCAGCTAGCCAGGAGTCTGCTTCTGCTTCCTGCTTTGAGTCACCTGCTCCCATCTGGCCTCTTGCCCGCAGGACTCACCGTGGAAAGAGCTCTGGGGGGTTCTGTTCCCAGGACATAAGTTTCTGCACAAAGGGAGGGCAGGTTCAGGGGCGAAGGGAAGATAAGAGTCCCACCACTTGCCCCAGAAGAGCACAGGACTGGGGAACAGAGGCCGTGATATGAGGACACTGGGCAGCCCAAAGTCTCGTTTCAGAGTTGAGAAAGCTTTGCACAGCTTGGCCTGGGGCTGACTGCCCCTGTCAGGTAAGGCTAGCAACCCCGTGGCCCCAGCCTACTCCTTCACCACCACCTCCCTCCCATCCCCCACAGAAGAGTGGCCAAGGTCTCCCTTGCTAGGCTACCACATAAGGTCTGACCAGGCAGAGGCCAGGCAGGGCTGACCTTGACATCGCTGGCTGCCCCCATGCTGCCCACACTGCTCCGCCTGCTGCTGGGCAAAGGTGCGGGTGCAGGGCTGGGGGCACGGCTCGGGGCACGGCTCGGGGCACGGCTCGGGGTCCGGGAGCGGGACTGGCTATCCCAGTATTCTGGTGAGGCTGCGGGATTGCCTGGCCGGTCCAAGAGGTCATCAAGGCTGTGGCTGCCCCGGAGGGGGTAGGACCTGAGTCAGAGAAAGCAGGCAGGCCTGGTGGCCCCCCTCCCACCTGCTGGGCCTGGGGGAGAAGGAACTGTGAAGGATCTCTGGCAGGAGGCAGAGTGAGCTACCACAGGGCCACAGCTCTCCAGAAGCCAAAGAGGGCAGGGCCTTTAGATTTAGCTCATAGATGCCTCCTGGAGGGGAGAGGCAGGGACCCTTGGGGCCCCAACCAACCAACTAGGGTACCTGGAAGGCAGTTCATTCATTGGGCTCATGGGGGACATGGAATTCATGGGGGTCACAGGGTTCACGGGGTTCACGGCCATCTCCTCCAAAGGTTTCACATAGGCCTCAGGGAACCAGCCACTCCTGTGGGGCAGACACCAAGGACTCCTTGAGCCAGCGGGTAGGCAGGACAGCAGAAGTCCTGGGCCTCCAAGGCACCACAGGACAGAGGCTCACCCCACCAATGCGGCTTCCCTGGTAGTCGAGGCCTAACAGGACCTGTGACACTCAACCTCATGGCCCCACCAGGGGCTGAGGCACCAGGGAGAGGAGGAGTCGGAGGCTAAGTCGGATGCCCCTCAGCCATGGGCCCCTCGTCATTTTTCTCGGTGTCCAGCACCAGTTTGGAGTCAGTCTGGGTTAGCGGGTGGCACAGACACTGAGTCCTTTGCCCACAGTCATAGGCAGCACAACTATGCACCCTCTGCTGTTGGGCACTGATCCACCTTGACCTCCACACTTAATAAGAAGCCACAGCACCTCCCCCAGGCCTCACCTCTGCTCACCCGCCCGTAACTCACGTGGGCAGCCACCCACAGGCCTACTCCAGTGTGTCCACTGGGACACTGTCACCCATCGGTCCAGCACCCGTGTAGTCAGTCCCCCTCAGTACACGCAGATGCTCGAACCCCCCACCCGGTTCCCTTCTCTGTCTTCTACTCCTGCTTCCACTTGGACCCCACGCAACCCTCACCTCAGTCCCCCTCCGGTCCATCATCCCCCTCCCCCCCAGTCGTCTGTAGAAGTGCTCCCAGCTGTCACCTCTTGGCCCTTCAGGGTTTTTATTGGCCTCTACTTCCCCCTGGATGCCCTGGAGAGTTGCAGGTTGAGCCGACACCCTGTCCCCTCCTGCAGAGACCAAGAGCCCTGCACCCTGCTTTGGAGACCACCAGTCCCACTGAGCTCCAGACTATGTGGAGACTCTGGGGTGTCTGTCTCTCCCCGCTCCAAAGTAGGATGCAGAGAAGCCCACGTTAGGCTCGTCCGGGTGCTGTACAATGCCTGCGGGGAGGGACTTTCCCTCCACCTCCGGCTCAGCTTCCAGCACAGGAGGGCACCGAGGGACGGCCCTAGGAGCAGCTGAGTAAACTGAGGCGGGCAGGGACGGGAGAAGGGGTCAAGGGAGGCCTGAAAACCTCGGTGGATCGCAGACCGCGCGCGCGGTGGGGGGGGGGGGGGGGGGGCCCGGCCGGCGGCGAGGCGGGGGGGGGGCGCGGGCGGGGGGGGGGGGGGGGGGGGGGGGGCTTCACTCACGCGGACGAGCCCTCCAGCTTGCCGTAGAGCCAGCCGTTCTGAGCTTCAGGCACCAGCACCTCAACGACGTCTCCAGCCGAGAATCGCAGCAGCGTGTGGTTGGCTCCCTCGGAGTGGGAGACCAGGGCGCGGACTCTCCTGGCGCCGCCGCCTCCCAGGCGCTCGCCAAAAGAATTGGACCGCGAGCGCTGGGTGCTGCTAGCGTAGAGCGAGGCTGCGGGGGTGAGAGTGAAGATCTCTCAGCAGTTCATCCTCCATCCCTCCGGCCGCAGCCCGGCTCCCTCCCATCCCATCCCCTTCCCGCCCCCCCCCCCCCCCCCCCCCCCGTCCCCCTGGGCCCGGGGGTACCCACAAGCCGACGGCGTCCGCGGCAGTGAACGGCGGTCTGGCTCCAACTGGGACGCGGACCTTGCCTCGGCGGGCTCGGGGCCATAGGAACCGGAGCCATGCCGGCTGCGGGGGGAGCCATACTCTCCCAGGGGCCTCGGGGGCTGCGAGGGCAGAGGGCAGGGGGTGGGGCGGGAGGGGCGGAGCCTCGCTAGCCCCGCCCCCAACCCCACTCCCACGGGTCGGCGTAAGGGTTGGGGACACGGTAGGGCCACCACGGGGGCGCAGAGGCGACCCCCCGGCGCCAGGGCGCGAAGGGCGCGACGTAGAGCGGGGGTGCAGGGGGTGGCGGGCTCCAGGC